TATCAAATTAAAACCTTCCTTTTTTATTTTTTATTTTATTTTATAATACTATTCAGTTCTACATAATAGCCACAGATTCCCTTGTTCTCTCCCTTCCTGCCCTCCTTCCCTTCCCCCCAGCCCACCCCCCATTTCCACCTCCTCCAGATCAAGGTCTCCCCCGAGGACTGGGATCGACCTGATAGACTCAGTCCAGGCAGGTCCAGTCCCCTCCTCCTTCCTTTTTAATTAAAAGACAGGGAGAAATGCTGTGGAATAATCCTTTTGTACACTGTAAAAGTTTGTCACTCAGATTGGTTTAATGAAACACTGATTGGTCAGGAGCTAGGCAGGAAGTATATGCAGAGTGACCAAACTAAGAATGCTGGGAAGCGGAAGGGTGGAGTCAGGAGTCACCAGTAAGATGAGAATGTTGTACTGAGAAAAGGCACCATGCCATGTGGCTAAACATAGATAAGAATTATGGGTTAATTTAAGTGTAAGAGCTAGTTAGTAATAAGCCTGAGCTACTGGCCAAACATTTATGATTAATATAAGCCTCTGGGTGACTATTTGAAACAGCTACAGGACAGAATGTGACAGAGAAACTCTGTTTACAAGCTTTCTTGGGTCTGACATAGAAATATGTGACTCAACTCTGACATTATTATTTAAATGGATTTTTCTTAGGGGCCACAAGCTTACAAAATATGATGTAGAGACTTATTAATAATTATAAAAGCTTGGCCTTAGTTTAGTCTTCTTCCTGACTAGTTTTTATAACTTGAATTAACCTGTTTCTATTAATCTATATGTTATTGTCTAGCTCATGACTTTTACCTCTTCTCCTTCATGTCTGTCTTCCTCTGTGTCTGGCTGGCAACTCTGCCTATCTTCTTCCAAGAGCTCTCTCTATTCAGAAGTCTCTGCTATATCTCCTGCCTAGCTATTGGCCATTTAGCTTTTTATTAAACTAACCACAGTAACATAACTTCACACAGTGTAAAGGAATATTCCACAACATTTTCTTGCTATGGGGTTGCCTTGTCCATCCTTAATATGAGGGGATGTGTCTAGTCTTATTGTAACTTAATAAGCCATGTTTGGTTGATAGCCTTGGGAAGCTTGACCTTTTCTGAAGGGAAATGAAGAGTAGTGGATCTGGAGGAGAGGACTTTAGGAGAGAGACTGGGAGGAGAGGAGAGAGGGGAGGCTACTGTCAAGATGTAATATTTGAGAGAAGAATAAATAAAATAAAAGAATATTGCTGTATTAGGATTACCAGGACTGATATCCCAAGAGAATCAAATAGAGCAGCAGAAGCTCCTTAAAAAAAAAAAATCTCCCGGCGGGAGGGCGGAGCGGCCGCAGAGCCGAGTGGTATGTGGGCGCTGGGACGTCGAGCCGCCGTGGGTCTGCTGCCACGGACGGCGTCAGGGGCCTCGGCCTCGCTAGGGACCCGGCGCGGGAGGGAGCCTATCGGAGCGTGCGGCCACCCAGGCCTGCAGGTCACAACCAACGCGGCCTCCGCCGGTTGCCACTCGAGTCTGAGCCTCCACTACCTCGATCAGATTCTGAACGTCAAGAAGCAGAGTGTCTGTGTGGTACATCTGAGGAACTCAGGAACTTTGGACAACTCAAGCTCTCTAGACGAGACAGCTTATGAAAGACTTGCGGAGGAGACGCTGGACGCCCTGGCAGAGTTCTTTGAAGACTTGGCAGACAAACCCTATACCCTGGAGGACTACGATGTCTCCTTTGGGGTACCTTTGGCTTTTTGTTTTTGTTTTTGTTTCCTCCTAAAAAGCTGTAACTTAGATGGGCGGTGGTGGCTCACGCCTTTGATCCCAGCACTCAGGAGGCAGAGGCAAGTCAGATCTCTGAGTTTGAGGCCAGCCTGGTCTACAGAGTGAGTCCCAGGACAGCCTGGGCTACACAGAAAAACCCCGCCTGGAGGTGTAGTTCGGTTGGTAGAGTGCTTGCCTAGCATACACAAAGCCTGGCTTCAGTCCCTAGCTGGAATACAAGTGAGCATAGGAGCACATCCCTGTAATCCTAGCACTCAGGAGGTAGAGGCAGGAGGATTAAGAAATTCAAGGTCTTCCCCAGCACATCGCAAGGTTGAAGGGAGCCCAGACTACGTGTGACCCTGTCTCAAAAAAAGAAAAACTAAACAAACAACAAGAAAACGAATGTCATATATGCACAATAAAACTAAAACAAGAGAATGCCCTCCAGGCAGGCAAGGTGGCACACAGCTGTAACTCTACACCCTAGAGTAGATGCAGGAGGATCACTGAGTGTTCAAGGCTAGCTTGGTCTACACAGTGAGGTCCAGACCAGCCGGGACTACAGAGTGATACTCAGTCTTAAAGACCAGGGGGACTGGTGGAGGGCTCAGTGGGTAAAGCCACTGCCCCCCAAACCTTATAACCTCCGTTGAATTCTTAGAGCCCGCATACGGGTGGAAGAAGAAACAGACTCCATACCCTGCCTTGCGAGTGGACCTACTCCACATATACACACATTCAGAATAATAATAAGTAAACTTTAAAAACAGTAATAATACAGATTTTTAAAAAAAATAGCCTCCAGCAGACATAACCGTCTAGCAGCATAGATTGTGGTTGGAGCATAAAGCTAGAATTCATGTGACAGCCCAGCTCTGCCTGTGACTTTGGGGGAGTCACTCTGCTGCCTCCGTGAGTCTCTTCTGTTTAAAAACAGATTCCCTGGGGTGGGTAGTGAAGGGAAGAGCCCTTTACCCACCATAGGTGAAGCCCTGGCTTCAATCTCTAGTATTGAAGAATATGAGTTCCAGGATCCAACCTGTGGACAATTGTCCAAGCGGTTCAAACTCCATGTGTGGGCCCTCTGCTTGCTTCTTTCTACTGTAAGAAGAAGCCTGTCCTGAGGGGTTTGTTGTTTTGTTTTGGTTTTGTTTTTTTTTGTTTTGTTTTAATTTATTTATTTTATTTTATGTGCAGTGGTGTTTGGCATGCATGTGTGTCTGAGGGTGTCAGGTCCCCTGGAACTGGAGTTACAGACAGTCGTGAGCTGCCCTGTGGGTGCTAGGAATTGAACCCAGGTCCTCTGGAAGATCAGTCAGTGCTCTTAACCATTGAGCCATCTCAATAGAAATAAATTTTCTATTTATTAAAATAGAAAAGGGGAAATGTGGTGATATTTTATTTGTACTGAAATGTTATTTTAATTTTATGTTAATAAATAAAGTTGCCCTGGGGTCAGAGCTATTAGAGCCATAGTAAGAGCGTGGTGGTTAGAAGAGCTAGGTAGATTTCTGTGTGTTCAGGGATACAGCCAGTATTGGAGACATACGCCTTTAAGACCTGGAGGGCGGTACTTACAGGCAGTGATGAGGCAGTCATGTGGTTGGGTTTACAACCAATGAGAAGGCAGAACAGAAAGATTATTTAAACAGGGACACAGGAAGTACCTCGCTCTCTCGGGGAAGCTAGGAGCACTGCAGGAGGTAAGATTTTATCTCTGAGCTCTGACCTCTCGGCTTTTCTCTTTTACCTTGGCTCTGTGTTTCTTATTTTAATAATACGATTGGTTACATCTACACTTTGTTTTGTTTTTTGAGACAGGGTCTCTCTATGTAACCCTGGCTGTCCTGGAACTTGCCATGTAGACCAGGCTGGCCTTGAGTGATCCTCTAGAACTAAATGTGCACCCCCACACCCTGGCTCTCCTGGAATTCTGATGTGCAGCCCTGAATCCAACCCCTGGAAATTTTGATTTAATTAATGTGTAATGTGCTCTAGGCAAGGAGCTGGATTTACAGATTGTACCCGGTGATGGCTGAGAGCTTCTGAATTGGATGAGCATTACCCCAGCCACCACTGGAAGCTAGGGAAGTTTCCATGCTGGCCACCAGGTGGCAGACGAAGCAAGAGTCTGCTTAGGCCTTTATCTTTAGGAGAAAAATGTCTCCTCCTTTTCTTACCCATCACCCCTTCACTACCATCCCAGTCCAGGCAGAGAGGGTAATCCTTTTAACAACAATTATTAATTAATACCAGGAAATGTCATGAAGTGTGCCTTTTGTGAATTTTGGAGTAAATTGTAGGATTATGTAGTGCAGATGGTTGTCAAAATGATAAAGGGGAAATGGTTAAAAAAATACTTTCAAATTCATTATTTTTATTTCTTAATGAGAAGGGAAATGTATGTGAGGGTCCCTGCTCAACATGACCTCTCCCATGTGCCTGTTTCTGCCGATGACCAGGTGACAGCCATCTGCAGTTTTTGTTCCTGCAGGAGCAGGCCCAACTTCACTAGCACAAATCAGTGAGCCCGGCCCGCTGCGACTGGTTCTGCTCTGATTGGCTGGTGGGTGTGAGGGTCTCCTATTGGTCACTGTGCATTAGCAATTGCTCATTATTTTGTTTCTTTCCATTGTGGTTTGATGTGGACGCCCCACATAGACTCATGTGTTAAAGGCCAGGTTCCTAGCTGGTAGTGTCACTGAGAAGTGTGTAACACGAATCTTAAAACATCTTATTAATTAAAAAAAAAAAAAAAAAAAAAAAAACCTCAGTGCCAGCTATTGGGGTAAATTCTGAAAGAACAGAGAGACAGAACAAGCCACAGCTAACCTCACCTTGTCAACTTCTCAGCTGATCCTGTTTCCTCAAACTGAAAGCCTCTGAGTCCTCATCCTGAACAGATCTCAGCTGAACTGCTCTTAAAAGCCTAAAAGCTTAAAAGCCCCTAGTTACTGGCCCTCATGCCTTATATACCTTTCTGCTTCCTACCATCACTTCCTGAGATTAAAGATGTGTGTCTTTCCCAAGCAAAGACATGAGATCTCAAGTGCTGGGATTAAAGATGTGTGCCACCACACATGGTTCTGTTCCTAGTGTGGCCTTGAACTCACAGAGATCAGATCTCTGCCTCCAGAATGCTAGGATTAAAGGCATGTACCACCACCGTCTGGCCTCTATGTCTAATCTAATGACTGTCCTGTTCTGACCCCAGATAAGTTTATTAGGGTGCACAATATATTGGGGGACACAATAGATAACCACAGAGGTGATTGGATCATGAGGCCCCTGACCTAACTGAAGAATTATTTTGCTGATGGTTTTATGACTAGGTGGCTGCCGAGGGGACAGTGGAGAGTATGGGAGGAGGTGGAGACTGGGGGTGTTGGAAGAAGTGGTTCACTGGAGTCTTGTCTTGGTGGACATGATTATCCCTGGCCTCTTGCCTCTCTTTGCTTCCTGGCTGCCATGAGGAACAGCTCCCCCATCATACCCTTCTGCCTCTGTGGTGCTGTGCCGGACCACAGACCAGAGACAATGCAGCCAGACACCCCTAGACTGAAAACTCGGAAGCTGTTCAGGCATTCTGTTTTCTCAGATATTTGTCACAGCAGGGAAAGTGTGAGTAATACTGTCCCCGTCCCTGCACGTAAATGTGCCCACACTCCCAGATGGACTCACATTGGCTAAAGAATGGCAGTGGGCGCTGAGAACCTTCTCTGTGGAATCTACTTGCAGACACTTCTAAATGTCTCGAGGCCCCTGTTAAGAATATGTCCTTTGGAATAGTGAGAGCCCTGGGGAAAGACTAATTACAGCACCCGGGCTGGTAGAGGAGCCAAGCTTTGTGATCTCTGCCTTGGTAACCTTGCCCTTCACTTTGGCAGATAGTACCACAGACAGGGTCCCCTCGGTCGCTGTTTGTCCACTGACCCATTCATCCACAAATATAATAAGTACTTTTACGTCCATCCTGGGTTTGAGTGGAAACATATAGGTGCTGATGAGTCGCTTCTTCCCAGGGACTCAAAATAGGGGAGGTGGGGGCCAGCAGGGGCCAGCAGGCTCCTTCACACACAAGTCACGCTGAAGTAGTTCAAAGCATGAGAGGCTGCAGGCACTCTGCCAAGTGGAAAGCCCCAGATAACCTTCCCAGAGGCACTTGCACAGGTTCCGGAGCAAGAGGGGCCCACAGGGAAGATGCCAGAAGACAGCTAGAGCACTGTGGAGCTAGTTTTCCCCGTGTCTGGTTTCCGATGGGTTGTTTTGTTTTAGGAGAACACATCAGTTTAATTGATTTGCACTATGGGATCCCTCCAAAGATTGGGGATCGGAAAGTAAATTGAGGGTGCAGTGGTTGAGTGGGCTGTCCCTGGTGGGATCACTTGTTATAGTAGTGACTAGGTACAGGTGTGGAGTCCTTGAGCAGAGTCCTTGAGGAGGCAGCCAGATGTTGAGAGCCGGCCAGAGTGATGCGACTGCTGCAGGGCCAGGGCTGGTTAGGAAGGAGAGTGGACTTGGGAGTCAACATCTAGAGAGTTAAGTCTGTCTTGGCATTTGCCCTGGACCACCAAGCCTCAGCATCTAGGGTGGAACACACAGGGGACATTTATCAACCACAGATAGGTAATTCAGAGGTGAGTGTGTGGTTCCACTGAGTCTCTTAGCCCATAGTGGGAAGCATGAAACTGTAGAGTTGGATGAAGAGCCCGGTGCTGAGGGGCCGCTGGGTTGGAGGGATTAGCACCCAATGTGCACAGTGTTGGGGGGGGAATTAACATTGAATGTATACAGTGGTTCAGTTTTCCCAGGTGGAGAGATTTCTGAATGGCCCCAGAGCAACAATGTGAATATACTCAATACTGCTGTACTGTGTACTTAGTTATAGGCAAATTTAATGTTGTTTTTTCCAAAGATAAAAAGAGAGAAACTACATAAACTAGCAGCTAAGAAGGAAGGTTCAGGAGGCCGAGGGAGTTGCCCATGACAGGAAGAACAGTGTCTTTGAGCCCAAGCAGCCCTGCATTTCAGATCACCTCTGCAGGTTGCTGATACTTTGTTTTGTGTTTTTGCTACCCTGAACCTCTTCTAAAATTGGGATAGTGATTCCTACCTTCACAGTTGGTCTAGTTGAAAACAGTTCCCATGCGTGTCCAAACACAGATCCTGGCCCACGCTAGGCTCTGAGTAAAGAGGAATCTGTGTCTACTGAGGGTCTTGCTGTGGTTATTAAAGCTGCATCCCCAACATCTCTATCAGGAACTTTTGTGTGTTTGGTTTGGGGTTTGGTTCGGTATGTCTTGGTTCTTTTTAGATAGTTTCGTGTTGCCCAACCTTGAACTTCTGATATTCTACTACCTGAGACCTGGGATTACAAAGCCTGATGCACCTCTGTATGTGGAAGTTTCTCTCCCGTATCTCAGAGAGAGAAAGAAATCACTGGTGCCCCCTCCCATACCTGTTAGTTACATTATTATCGGTCCCAGCCTCTAGCATTTATTTAAATGGCTGGCTGTGTGTGTAAGAGTGTGCTGTGAGAATCATCCCAAGACTCCTGTTTGGATGAGCACTCTGCAGAGCACAGAGCAAAGCATTGGTGCCCTAGGCTTCCCACCTGCTTTCATTCAGGGTGTACTCACTGCCCAGTGCATTGTGTCATAGCCTGCCATTCTAAAGGGACTAAGGCTTGAGAGTGAAGGGCTCCTTTGTTGAGTGTTTTCAAATTTAAATGTTCGTTTATCGAACAAAAGTGGACTGGCCGGTCTTTTGAGAATGCAAGGCTTTTTAGGGGGAAATGAAGCCTGATGGAGTCCCTGAGCACTGGTTAGCTGCCTGGGAAGGGTCTGGATAATGCAGGTAGTCTGGGGCTGCCCCGCCTGCTCTTCTAAGACAGACAAGGCAGAGCATTGATTACCTCTCGTGTCTTTTACATTTTGTTGTACAGCCTGCTGGCCTCAAACTCCCAGGTTCCCACCTCAGCCCCCCAAGCACTGACATCACAGGTTTTTGCCGCCACACCTGCCTTCTCTCTGTGTCTCCACAATGGACTTGTCAGGTCTGACACTTGGGCAGACACCTTTAGAGTTTAGCCTGTGTTTGTACATGTCCTGATGGGCAGTGAAGGGCAGAAAGCCAGGGCTCTGCTTTACCATTGCTGAGCTCCCAGGCAAGTCTTAACCTCTCTTCCACACAGGCAGAGAGAAAGCGGTGTGAGCTAGCTTCGAGCATTGTTATGCCTAATCCACTGTGGTGGCCGCAGAGATGGCTCAGTGGCTGCGAGCTTGCTACTCTAGTGTGAGAACCAGCCTTTGGGTCCCAGCACCCACATCACATCAGGTGGTTCACAGACACCTGGAACTCCAGCTGTAAGAGGTCCTGGGCACCTTTGGCCTCCAAGGGCATGAGTACACATGCAGTTGAATGGAAACACACGGACATAAGTAAAAGTAAACAGCTCTCCAGTCCACTCTCATCCGGACAGTCATGTCTTTACTTCACACATTCCTAGCTGTGAACACTCATTTTTGTTTGGTTTTGATCCCAAGAATTGAACAGAGGGCTTCCCAGCTCCCCATCACACACTGCCAGTACACTGCGTCCCCAGGTCCCTTTTTTTTTTAATGGTATGTGTTACATCCTTGGATACGTGAAAGGCGTTGAGATATGAACACATATTTATATATATTTGTTCTTGTGCTAACTAATCTTGTTTATTTTCTTCAAACTTTCTTCTACCTAGGGCGGTGTGCTAACCGTTAAGCTGGGCGGGGATCTAGGGACCTACGTGATCAATAAGCAGACCCCAAACAAGCAAATCTGGCTATCGTCTCCCTCCAGGTACGTTCAGAAGTCCAAATCTGTAAGGGGTGCACTCAGCTGGAATGCCGTGTTGGGGACCATTTGAGAGGGCGTCCGTCACTGGCTTTGCCGTGGCTTTACAGCTGTGCGCCCCGGCAGAAAGGCTCGCTTCCGGTTGAACGTTTCTCCCCATTGAGAACTTGGTTGCTATCCTCAGGCATGAGGCTGTTGACAAGACCTGAAGCAAGGGGAACTTTTCAGAACCTGGCCCGGACAGTGTTTCTCTGTTAGGTCATTGCCTAGAAAAGAAAAATCACTGGCTTGCCTGTGGAAAAGATCCTTTTGCCAGGCATAGTGTTGCCTATCTATAGGCTCAGCACTCAGGAGGAAGAGGCCATAGTTCAGAGTGCCAGCCTTGCTACATAGCCAGTTCTAAGGCTCGGCTGGGCTGTCATGGAAGACCCTGTCACGAAGACAAATGGGCCAACCTTGTCTATATAGTGAGTTCCAGGCCAGCCAGGGCTATACACAACTTACTTTTGTTAGGTATGGCAGCACATACCTGGGGTAAAAGAATTAATTAATTAGAGAGCTACTTTGAAGGCTGGGATGTATATCTCAGTGATAGAATGCTTGTCTGGCAATCTATAAGCCCTGGATTCAATCCCAAAACAGAAGGGAAGGAGGGGGAAAGAGAGACAAGCAGTTTTTATATTGTAGCATCTGAAAAACCTGCACTTTGTCCTCAAAGTCAGTTAACCTTTAACTCCCAGCCTGTTCTGAAGGTCTCGGTGATTCTGTTGGCAGAGTTGGGCTCAGACTCGGTGGCAGTGAGACAGTGATTTTTAGCAGCAGCTCCAGGACCCCCATCTTCCTGCCTGCCCCATGGATGTGCCTGCAGTTGAAGGCACATCGGGGTGCACTGCAGACAGCCTGGGCCTCAGAACTGAGAACTTACTGGGGCGCATACTGCTGCCACCGCCGCCGCAGTGGTCTGGGGCCGGCTGAGAGATGCTCACACAGATGCTCACACACATGCTCACACAGATGCTCAGACAGACCCTTCACACTGACCTTGCTGAGACTCAGCAGCACTACTAATGAAGACATTTTGAAGGCAAAGTGGGAAAAGCTCAGCCAGAACCAGTGTGGAATCTTCGAAAGCCTAATGGCATTGGCAGTTTTAAAATATTGAAAAAGGCCAGGCAGCAG